CTGGGTCAGAGTATAGATATGAAACTTTTCCCTAAAGGAACTGCATTTACAGGAAAGTGTGAAACATCTGGTTTTCAGTGTCCTGAGATGCTCAGTAACAAACCTTGGAACTACCAGGTATGGACGGAAAGCAAGAGGTTTGAAAACATTTTCATTATTACACTTACTAGACTTTTTAAATGACTTTAGAGCTCCAGGTAGTTTGAACTGGTCTCTTGGGCACTGAAGGAAAAGTAGAACGTAAGGCTGAAGAAGAAGAAATTCTACTTTTGAAGAGTCTTACTCTCTTAATACAGATTCTGTCAACAGAGCAGAAAAGCAAATACATCTGTGAGAAAGTTTCAGAATTTTCAATAGAGTAAAATATTAGTTGACAATTAAGGAAGATACTGCTAATTAGGATAAATGTAAAGATTTTGAGTCTGGTTTAAATGAACTGCTCAAATTCCAGATAAGATCTGTGGCTTCCAGAAGACCATAATAAAGGGGGCACACGTGAGAGCTTTATAGTTGGTTACTCCCAGTAATGCTGCTCTGGCGGTGGATAGTAGACAGTGTGCTAACCACAGATTTGGACCATGCTAGAGTGTTCTGTTCTGTTATATAGACATCCCACAGAGGCATTGATGTGTAGTTATACAATAGCAACCAGAGTCCCAGAGGATAGAGTTGGAGGAACTGCCAAACTGAGAGATTATTGTGTTTGTACCAAGTGAAAGAGCAGAGGATTTCAGAATTCCATAAATGTAAAAACCCTATGATTTTTGAGCTTCTAAGTTAGAGACCTATTTAAATACTCACACGTAAGTTACTGTTTGCATTGTATATGTCTGTTTTCTTCATAGATTGATTACTATGGAGTTGCTGCAACAGTGTACTGTATGCTCTTTGGGACGTACATGAAAGTAAAAAATGAAGGAGGAGTCTGGAAACCTGCAGGTCTTTTTAGAAGGTAGGTTATTGGCATTGGTGCTATAGTAATAATAATAACAGCAAAATAGTAGATTTTTATCTAGCTAGAAAATGAGCCTGGGTAGTAGATTTTGGTAATAGAACATAATCCTCACATTAGGCACTGATCAAATCTAGCATTCAGTGCCTTGTAAAACCATTGCGAGCTCCTGACTGTGTGGGTTAGCATTCTGTTCTTGACTGTTTCTGTTTACTGTAAGTGAAGTCAATGTTGGCGAACCTTGGGGTTTTGTTTGTTTGTTTTCTTGTTTATGTAAATAGGCATGATGATGATTCTGCTTTGCTCAAATCTTATAAGCAAAGAAAATAATACAGGTGAAGTGGTTTTGTAAGTTATAAATAAAATGAAGAAACTTCTATTACAAGACAGGGTTTTTAAGCTTCAGCCCTATGTGACTTTAGTTTATAAAATACTTAAAGATTAATGATTCGTTTGGAGCTTATCATGTCAGCATTGTCCCTTAAGTAACATTCTGTAAATATACCACTGGTGGTATTGAATTGAAGCTGATTATTGTATACATGTATGTTTCCATATATCATATTAACTTTTTTGAGATATAAAAGCATATACAGGAAAAAAAATCACTCATGTGTTAGCCTAATGGAATTTTACATGTTTATTCCTTCCTGAAAAAAATGTATAGTGAGGTTTTCCTCATTCTCCCACCCACTCACTATCAAAGCAGGAAAGGAAAGGAGTTTGCAGAAATTTTATATACATCATGTACAGTAGATTTGGAACCCAAAAGAAAACTTGACAACAGTTGTCCTTTATTCTGTATGGAGCCATCAAATTCAACAAGTACTTTACTTTGTTTCCCTTGCTCATTATCAAAGGACCAGAGGGTTCAGAAGGTCTCTGTCTATTGCCAGAAGCATATAAAAAAGCCAAAGCTTCCTTCTCAGTTTCCATGTAGAATGACATTTTAGTCTGTACTGCTTTCTCTCCGGGGCTTTTTCTCCTTGTTTTGAAGTTTTTGTTTTTGACTAAGACCCTTAAGTGTGAGCTCTGTCCTAAAGAGTGCAGCCACAGCCTCTTTGTCTAGATATCTTGCTATATATGCAGTTAGGCTTATTATAACCAAGTACTAGATTATCAGATCCTGGCAGTGTGGTATACAAGAAGCCAAACGAAGGCATATTTTCTTTAAAAGATGATTTTTCTACTGAAGAACTATTGCTTAAAGACTATTTTAAATCATGTTATTAGAACAACATATATTTTAGACATTTGGTTTGGTTTTTAATTCTTCCTGTTTATGATGGATTCTTGGTTTGCTAAGATGCAGACAGGTGAGAGCTGTTCTTTTAACATGTTCACACCTGTGGAAAGTAGATGCATGAACAGGTTGCTATGTATGTTAAAAGTTGCGTTTTTTCCATTGTGATATTTTGTCTCTTCAGGCTTCCTCATTTGGATATGTGGGAGGAATTCTTTCATGTCATGTTGAATATACCAGATTGTTATCATCTGCCATCTTTGGATTTGTTGAGACAAAAGCTGAGGATATTATTTGAACAACAGTATTCCAATAAGATTAAGACCCTACGTAACCGGCTAATTGTGCTGCTCTCAGAATATAAGCGGTTGAGAAAATAAAATATGGATATGGACCTTATCCAAAAACACTTTGTAAATTTAAACTCCCTCCCACATTGAATCCTGTTGTTTTCACACTTTTATTTATGTATGTTCAAAAAAATAAAGCCTGTAAGATATACCATGTGTTGTTATAAATATTCTAAGAAAATTGACAAAGGAGACCCATATGAAGCAGGCCAATCAGTTGGGTTGCTCTTTGTGTACAAGTTTTCAAGAGAATGATTCAAATTTAAATGCCTTCTAGAATCACCTTTCTAAACATTGACCTATTTAAGTCCAAAGTAGGCCAAACGGACTTGAAATGTATGTTTAGTTAGCGTATGTAGGATTGGGTTTCATTATGGCACTTTCAGACAAAATTTGTTTTTGTTGATTTTTCTTCCCCATCCTGACCTGTTCGTACCCTTAACACACCCTCCCCCATAGCTTACTCTCTGTTTTCATGTCTCATCCATCTGTGTCCCTTCCTCAATATCTCTTTTCCTTCTCGAGGTCTTTTTAGTTTCATAGCTACTGTTACTGTTGGCCCCACTTATCTGCATATAAGCATTATAAGTTAGGGTCTGCATATTGAATATGCTATATATTTACCCCCGTCTGAAACAGCTGGGAAAGTTTTTCCCCATTGTGTGCTGTCTTTTCATTCTGCTGATAGTTTCTTTTCCTATGCTACTGGAGTTCTATTCAGAAGGTTTTTGCCTGCATCTATGTTTTGTTGCTTTGGTTTTGCTTTGCTTTTGGTTTAAGATAGGTTCTCTTTAAGTAACCCTGTCTGGCATGGAGCTTATAGAGACTTGCCTGCCTCTGTCTCCCAAGTGCTGGGAGTATCTGCAACTAACTCCCATGGTAGTTATGCCAGGGTACACAAGGCCTTGTTCCTGTGCCACTGCCGCATACATCAGGCTTTTGACTTGTTGTTTTGGCAGATTAATAGCATTTCACTCTAGTCTTGATTTACATTTCTCTTACAGATTAAGTCAAATATATCCGTGTATTTTTTTTTTAATTTGGCTAGGCACATGTTCTTTTTTTAGTGAACGTCTATTCTTTTTCTGCATGTCCTCTTTATTTTATAAGACATGTATATAACTATTTATCCTAAATTGGCATCTGTATTTTGACTAAAGATTTCTGCTTCTATGAAGAACTTAGAATTCTGCTTTATAGACTGATTCATAGTCTTAAATGGCGTTTGAATTCTATATCTTAAAATGTTATCCTTAACTGAAAAAAGAAAAGGTTCTCTAGTTTTTTCAAAAACTAGTACTAATTTAAATATTTAAGACTATATTTTCTGGCTTATTTTAAATACCCCCCCATACTATTTTTTCTTAGCTGGGAGTTTGAATATATGAAACCTGTTGATTTCAGCTGATTCTTCAAAGTTTTCATATTACTATCTTTTTGTTTTGCTTTTGGGGTGGGTGGGTGTTTTTGTTGGTTTTTTTGGGTTGGTTTTTTTTTTTTTAAAATACAGTTTCTCTGTGTTGCCCTAGCTGGTGTGGAGTTCAGAGATCCACCTGCCTGCCTCTGCCTCTCAAGTGCTGGGGTTAAAGGCATTTGCCACCATCACTCTTCATCATATTATTGTCTATATAAAAGCAGTGTGTATCATGTGTCATTCCTGTTTTTGCCATGTCTTTGTGTTAATGGTTACTACCTTGAAAATGATGTTAAATAATGGTGCAATGCTACTGGACATTCTACTTCAGTGGGAAACCTTCCAATGTTTAACTATTAAACTACAAGATACTCTCTTAATATGGTTATTTTAAATTATGTTAGTATCTATTGATACTGTAGGTTTTCTTGCCCAAATTTCCATCTATATTGATCCAGCTGTATACTAACCCCGTTTATTAATGACCTCTAAAAGGTCAGTGTGTGTGCAGTAGGGGATCCCAGACAAACCAGTCTGTCCTGGACTTGGTCAGTCAAAGCAACATTAGAGAAAAGCCTCCATCGTATTGTAACTGCCAGTGTATTTTAAATTTGCCTTGGTTTAGGACTTTTTCTGTTCTGTAAAACTATGAAACTTAATAAAACTATTTCTAGGTTTGAACATGGAATTGGAGTACCCTAAATCTGTATTCCCAGGCCATAGTCACTCATAATGGCTCCAGAATAAACTCTTCCCTTAAAATGAGAGCTGTGGTTATTGCATTGACACTGGTAACAAGGAAGCTGACTACATAGTGACTTGATAACATCATGTGTACTGTGATAAAATATTAAAGGCAATTGGCCACATTCGTTCATTTATAATGTGTCATTACAAATATTCTCTATTCGTTTATCATTTTAAAATCAAGTTACCAGAAAGATTAGTTATTCAGTTGCTAAGGAAAACGAACTGAAGCAGATGACACCAACTCATCTATGATTCAAGGCAATGTCTAATGTCAAACAAGAAATGTGGAAGAAATGCGGAGCAAGACAGTCTTGCAGCATGCTGCTTCCTTGTCTTACTCATGCTCGGGGCGGGTCTTATTCCAGCACTGCGACATTTGACCCTTGCGACTTTCCGTAGTTCACTCTACACTCCTGGTTGCTGCAATGGCTGACGTTTCGGAGAGGACGCTGCAGGTGTCCGTGCTAGTGGCTTTCGCCTCTGGAGTGGTCCTCGGCTGGCAGGCGAATCGGCTGCGGAGGCGTTACCTGGACTGGAGGAAGCGGAGGCTGCAAGACAAGCTGGCGACAACTCAGAAGAAGCTGGACCTGGCCTGAGCGCCCGCGGCGGCCCAAGCCCTCCGGGTCCTCACTCCCCAAGTCCCACGCGACCCGGATCCGGTGAGCCGCGCGACCACACGCCCGGGGGAGTCGCCTTTGCACGGCTTGCAGTAACGTGGTTTGTTCCTAGACTTAAGAGAAAATAGCTTTGTCTTCTCTAGATACTTACTCTTCGGGTGTTAAAGCGAATGTTTTACCACGTGCGATACATTGCACCGTAACATTTAACTTCGAAATGGAAAATACTAGGTAGAAAATGGGGGAGGGAGGGACAACTGTGAAGTATTTCACGCCCCAGCCCACCCCAGCCCCGAATTCATTTTTAATGTGGCTTTGAAGTTTTTGCAAACTTCAGTTCTAAATCTTAAGTTGTTGGTAGAAAAAGTGGATGTCAGTAGCCTCACGTTTCATCATAGCTATCTGTAGTTTTCTTACAGTTCATGGTTTACCGTCACAGTACAGTAATTTGAATTTAAAAATTGTGTTACTGATTTTTTTTTTCCTTTCTTTTTCAACAGCTTGTCGAAGATGGATACAAAGCACTGGAAAGAAAGCATTTCTTCTTGCACTTTATGAATCTATTTTTAAAATAAAAAGATTAAACAACCTTGAATCTTTTCCCTCCTCACAGAGGAAATGAATATTTTGCCTACCATTCAGTTTGCTGCAACAAAAGATCTGGAGCCTGAAAGTACAGGCCTTACGGAATCTTTCACATCCTTGGTACAGCCTAGAGGCAGATCTGATCCAGGGACCATTATGTGTTCTTTTTCTAGATGTAGTCAGAAAAAATAGGAGCTATGGCTAATAATTGAAGTAAACATTATAGATATTTACACTTTAAAGAATTAACATTTAAGATATTTAAGAATAAGCATTTAAGATATTTTCACTTTGAAGAATGAAAGTTTATTGCAAATGTTGAGTGTAAAAACTCTATGTCTAAACGTGGAATGTACGTGTGAAAGAGAAACCTTTGAGTAGAGCTTAATGATAAATGCCAGTCATAACGAGTGCCCAAGTTCCGGGCTGTTTATTTATAAGATTCATTTCTTATGTGCTGTCCTCATTTTTAAGGAAATAAGTTTTGAGGTAACCCAGACCCAGAAAGACAATGATCATATGTACCCTTAAGTGGTTTTTAAACAAAGCAAAGAAAACCAGCCCACAAATCACAACTCCAGAGAACCTAGACAACAATGAGGACCCTAAGAGAGACATACATGGATCTAATCTATATGAGAAGTAGAAAAAGACAAGATCTCCTGAGTAAATTGGGCGCATGGGGACCATGGGAGAGAGTTGAAGGGGAGGGGAGAGGCAGAGAAAAATGTAGAGATCAATAAAATCAATAAAAAAATAATAAGTAAAACAAAAAAATATCAGTTTTGTGTCTCAGCACTTTAACATAAGAAAGTTCATTCTTCAGGAAAACCCCACTGCCCATTTTCCTAGGGTTATTGTGCCTTATTATTTCTAAGTTTGTTCTTATTCTGTGAGTCCATCAAGGGCTGAGATGTTGGCTCTTAGAGCTCCATCCTGTTTAGTTGGCTGAAGCTTTTTGGTCAATATTCCTCACCTAGACTTAGTTGAGGATCTTTGCAGTAGAGTAAGTAGGAAGGTGATGGTATTCAACTGTGGGGACCAGAGGTGCCTGCCTACATTGCACTTCGCCTTTTCTTTTTCCTCATGTATGTGGAGTATGTGCCTTTATGTACATATGTTCACATGTGTACGAGTGCATGTGTGATAATGTATTTAGGTATAGACCCAAAGTTGGTCAGGAACTGCCACTCCACTTGGCACATACATAGTCACTTTTGCATCGGGCATTTTAACCATGGATCCATCTCCCCAGCCCTCTCCTTCTTTAACCAGAGTACCTCACTGAAGTTGGGAATTTGTATTTGGCTGGTCTGATCTCAGCACTTGTGTTACAGACTGCTCTGTCCACCTCATCTTTTTACCTAAATGTTGGGTGTTTGATGCCAGAGCTTCCATGTGTAATGGGCATTTTCCTAATTGAGCTCAAAAGGCTACATGACTGGGAGGCCTTGCCCTTCTCCCCCATTCCCACTTCCTGGTTTAATAACCGTTAGATTATATTCCTAAAGGTAGCCACCAAGGTCTTTTCCCTTTCTTGGTCACTTTCCCTTGAGACTGACTACCAAGATTCAGCTATCAAATATTGAAGTCCAGCAGCAATCAAAAGCCCCCTTTAACATGCCAATCAAAATTGAACACCTCATCCCAACATGCAGTTTCCTCTTTTTACCTTTATAAAGTGCCAGTTGCCTATGGGCCAAGTCTGTCTCCTCTCTAACCAGAGGCAGAAGTCCTTGTCAGTCTTGTGTTCTCCCCCGCCCCCGCTGGGACAAATACCCGTCCGTTTTCCTCTGAGAACTTCCTCTGATACAGGTCCCTTTAGAATCATCTCTCCAGCCCCAGAGTAGAGGAAGTTTTGCAGTCTTTGAGGCTTAGTTGGTGTATGCTTCATTTTTTTCCCCAAACTGAAAATTCAAGGTTAAACTGAGTTGTGACTGGACCAGCTCTGCCTCTGGGCCTGTTCCCAGAAGACCTGGTATTTGCTGTTGTTTTTGTTTTAAACTTTGTCTGTATGAGTTTTACCGGAGTGAATGTCTGTGTACCATATGCATGCCTCGTACCCGCAGAGGCCTGGAACTGGAGTTTAAAGTGGTTACAAGCTGCCATGTGGATGCTTGGAATTGCGCTCGGGTCCTCGGCAAGAACAATTAATACCCTTAACCATTAAGCCATGTCTTTAGCCCTCTTTTCTCATTATTTATACATGCAGCTTGCAGATACACTCCTCCTTTTATGTGCCACCCCTGGGCATGCCTCTCTAAACATGTTGGTGTTCGATGCCATGCTAATCTTATTTCCTGATACCACCTGTTTGTGTTGCTATGTCCTGTATGTCCCTAACCTTGTAGTGGACCATTCCGCTTTGACATCACTTGAGTCAACATTTCTTTTCCTTCTACCTTCTCTTAAATGTATGAAGTTCCTTCTCTCCCAGAGCGGAAAACTGTCTTCCATGAAGATGGTACCTCTATCTTAGTCAAACTGGAATCCGTAAAGTAGGAGCCAGAAGTCACAATAACAGTCAGATACCTTGATGATCCAGGCTCACCAGATCGCCAACTGGTGAGCCTGGATCATCACCATTCCTAAGTCCTGGGTTACTGCAGCAGATTTTTGGGAATTGAATGTAGAGGGTTGAGTCTCACTCGGGAAATGCTACCACCTGTCCTGAGAGTGAACAAAATGTGAGGACTCTTGAGAAATAGCTATCTGCCCATAGGCTTACTGCACAAGACAGAGTTGCCACCCCTTAGAATTCAGGGTGGACCACATGAAAACTCTGGAGAGACACCAGCAATATCCCAAAAGGCAAGAATTTAAAACCATCTCTGGGCCAAGTGTGATGACACACGCCTTTAATCCCAGCACTAGGGGGAGGCAGAGCGGCAGGCGAATCTCTTGTGAATTCGGGGCTACACAGTAGGCTATTTCAAAAATAAAACCGCCTATAGGGTGACAGCATGCAGCGAAACGACGAGTCTCACAAATGCCACAGGAAAGCTCTCGTAGCTAAGGAGTTTATTATGATTAAACTATTTTAAGAATTAGTTTCGCAGGCGTCGGAGAGTTGTATATAACAGAGACTAGTACGAGGTCGTGAAAGGGACGAGACGCGCAGTCTGGGACTCCGTGGTACGTCTCCATCCCTAGGAATCCAGAGCAGTTATTTTTAGGCCGTATAGCGAATCCCGTGGCGCTGGGTGGCGGCGCCGACTGATAGCGTCATCTATCTGAGCTCACGCGTTGGTTTCCCTGGCAACCAGCGCGGTCCCTCCGGCGGCGCCAAGGCCGATGCTCGCCCGGAGGCCGCGGGACCCGCTGCAGGCGCTGAGGCGCCGCGGGCAGGAGTTGAAGCTGCAGGTAGGTGTGGGAGAAAGGGGCTCCACATCCCAGCCGCTCGCCCAGACCCGAGCGCCCGGCGGCAGCGTTCTAACCCCGGCCCCCGCCGGAGACAAAACCTCCAGAAAGCCGTGTGAGTCAATTAACTCCAGCTAACGACTCACCGGCCCCCAACACCCCCCCCCCCCCATCCTTCCCGCCGGTGTCTAAACTAGCCAATTCCACCCTAGTCCTACACCACTTCTTTGAAAGTCATCACTTTCTGAAAGGCAAGTGTAACAGGTGTCAACGAATAGACTTAATACCTGAGATCCGATAAACGAGCCAAGGACAGGAGATTGGTAATTTAAGAAAAGTTAATTTCAAAGGAAATCAAGCACTTATAAAAGAGGTAAGATCTCAAAGATTTTACATCAAAGCTGTCAGTGAAACAGACGATGCTCTGGTGCATAAGCTACATTTCTGGACAGCAGTTTGACAAGATACAGCAAACATTGATTCTCCTAGGCTGGCTGATTACATTTCCAGGAATCTACCGTTTGTAATAATTTAAAATTGGGATGAATATATAAAAGTGTTCACCACATTTTTTTTTGCTTATAATGGGAAAAAACTGGATATGAATAAATGATCAGTATTGGGGGATGGATTAAGTTAATCCATAAATGGATTATTGTTATACAGGGCTTCTCAGTTCTTGTCTTGAGGGAAAGGATTTAGTGGTAGGACTCAACACTTAAACAGAAGTTTGTATAGCAAAATAAAACATTTGCTTCAGAGAGACTGGAGAGGGCTGCAGGAGCTGGAGACCAGCCTGGGGCTTCTCCCATTGTAGATTGTAAACACATTTTAATTGATGTTGATGACATGTCCCTCTTTCTCTCCTGAATCGTGGTTGACTGGACTCTCCTTTTGAGGTACTTATGATGATGATTCTGTTGAAATGCCCGTGTGTGAGGGTGGGGAATGTCAGAATCACAATGGAAGCGTTATCATGAAGTCTGATTCTTTGGAGGATGCGGTACTTTGTTCTGGTCCGTGTGTGGCAACTGAGAAAGTGTTCTGGCCTCCTTGGTTCTGTTACAACAGGAACAATCTAACTGCAGCTTCAGAATGTTTAACCACAAAGGGGCATTCTGACTGCCAGGAGACACAGCTACCAAGACAGGGCTGCAGTTTTCCTTGGTGATGTCATTTCCAATTCCTTATCGACTTAGTACTGTCTGATGGAATCTGATAGTGTTATGAAGAGATTTTTGCTAGAGCTCTTGGGGTTTGGGGGTAAATATTTGTGGTAAGAGATCAAGTTAGAAAAAGAATGTAAGGAGCTGGAGAGATGGCTCAGTGGCTGCGAAAACTGGCTGCTCTTCCAGAGACCCTCATAGAGTTCCCAGCACCCGCACAGTGGCTCACAGCTGTCTAACTTCTGAGGAGCTGATGCCTGATTCTGGCCTCTGAAGGCACCAGGCATGCATGTGGTACACAGGCACACATGAAGGCAAATACTCATACACATAAAATCAATAAATATGAAAAGGAAAAATAATGTAAAATGGAATAAACATCATTTCAATAACATTTGTTATGTATCCTAGACATAAAAAGATATAGAAGGAAGCAGGACAGAATAGTGTATAGGGCAAACTGCTGATGGTTATTGTTTGCCTT